TATCTTAGTTTTAACTAATAATTTATACTGTAATTTGTTTTAAAGCCTCTAATAACATTATGTTTTTTTTACCCCAATATTACAATAATCACAAAAATTCAAGCATAATATATATTTTTTTTAAAGGTCCGTAGGCCAAAGTTTCAAAATTTCTATATAGGCACGGCCTTGCTAACCATGAAAAAAAAATGTGTACAAGATTCACAAAATCTAAGAAATAGATATTAAAGGTGATGAGAGATTTGTAAGGAAAAAGTATATTCACTCAATCACTCTCACAAAGATAAACAGGTATAAAAGTGATATAATTTAACATCGTAGAATAGATACTTGAGCAATTAAGAGTTAAAAAACAAAAGAACTTTTTTGCAGAAGGTCGCAAATGTTCCACATCGAATAAGTGTACACAACAAAGGACAAATGTGTGTCTTAATCCATGACTAAGATATCAAATCAAAATTTTTACCTGTTATCTGCAGGGAACGGATCTGATATCCTTCTTCCACTTGTGTTAATGATTTCAGCGAGGCAGTAAAACATTCTTTCGCCAACAGCGAATGATGGTTAGATGGTTTCTCCCTTGCAGTTGCAGGTGATACCTATACCAAATTTTGACAGAAAGTACCTCGAGGATTAGATCTATCGAATGGAGATGTGTTTTCGAGTGAACCACGCTTGAGGTGGAACAGGTGGAACTAGCAGTAACGTCGATTAAAGGTTTTACTATTACTTGGACTCGCTGATTACAGGATCGGGCAATGCTCAAGGACTGGAAGGATCTGAAAGCAATGTTTTACAGTTGGTTTCAGAAAAACATGGCAGCAATTACGGCAAAAATCATCAAGGAGTAGAAAGGTCGTGATGAACGTGACAAAGCGAAAGAATATCTGGATAGATACAAGTCGTCTTTCCAGAGAGTTAACTCCGCCCCGGTGTTTCACTACTCTCCTAGGGTCTCTAGATCAAACTCACAACGCTCCTAGAGAAGAGGAGTCCTGAAACTGTGTAGAGGAGTAGACCAGCCGTAACATACAAGAAGAAGGGTGAGTGTTGGAAATATGGAGACAAGTGAAATCCAGCTCATAAATTTAAAAGCAGGGAATTCAAATACATGGCGGTTAATGAAGATGGGGAGATTGAAGGAGAGTTGGAGATGAACAAGATGGTCATGAAAATGATTCGGGTGAGGACGAAGTGAAAGAGTTGTTTGTATTGTCTCTTCAGTCTATGGCAGGCTTCACTCCAAGAAAATTTGAGGCTGAATGGAGTTATTTTGGGACAGGAGCTCATAGGGCTGTCTCACTTTGGAGTCACGAGCAACTTTATATATACAGAAGTAGCTAAGCGTTGTGGTCTGGATATTCAGAAGACTCGAGATTTCGGAGTTTCCATTGGAGATGGTCAAGTCGTACCAAGTGAAGGGAGGTGTAGAAATGTTTTTCTCTAAATTCAAGATACGCATATCCAAGCAGATTTTCTAATCATTGAATTGAGAACAAGTGATGTGGTTTTGGGATATACCTGGTTAGAAATGTTAGGGGTCACGAGGAACAATTGGCGATGTTACATGATGAGCTTCCAACGGGAAGGACGTTGAGTAATGTTTGTGGGTGATCCCTCTCTGGTCATATCCCAGATATCACTCAACACCATCGAGAAAGTCGTCGAGGACACTAGTACTGCTTTTCTTCTAGAATTATCCACGCTATTTGAATGAGCAGTAGAGATGGCAAAGGTTAAGAGTGATGCTGCTGTGCACAAAGTTTTAGAAAAGCACAAAACTGTTTTTAAGATGTCATTAGAGTTGCGTCTTAAGCGGAACCGTGAGCATGTGATTACGCTTAAGAAAGGTGCAGCTCCTGTCAATCTCAGAAAATACCATTACACGTATACGCATAAGGATGAGATTGAAAAATTGGTCAGAGAAGTGCTGCAAACTCGCATCATTCAGCCCAGTATCAGCCCCTATTTAAGTCCGGTTTCTTGGTTCAGGAAAAAGATGGAGGATGGTGTTTCTGTACTGACTATCGGGCTCTCAACAAGCTCAAAAACCCGGATAGATATCATATACTCGTAATAGAGGATGAGTTGCAGGGCGCGTCTATATTCTCGAAGCTGGATCTATAATCTGGATATCATCACGAGTCACTGCTGCGGATGTGAAGAAGACGGCGTTTAGGACCCATGAAGGCCATTACAAGTTTCTGGTGATGCCTTTCAGCGTTGTCAATGCACCGGCGACGTTTCAGTTAGTGATAAACGACATTTTTAGAAGCTACTTGAGGAAATTTGTGTTAGTATTTTATGTTGACTTTTACAGTCGCAACATGGAGGAGTATGATATATTAATATCATTGCATACTTAAGATGCATTTTTAGTCCAAATATATCTCATGCATGCATATAGGTAGTTTTCTTAGACTTTAGCTTTCGATTTAGATTTTGTAGGATATGCATTATGTCCCAAAAAGTCTTGCATATTTGGAGTGTTTTCAAGTACTTAGGAGTCATTTGGGGACCTGATGGAGCCGAGACCAAGAAGAAATCATCACCAGCAATGAACGGATTTAGACAAGTGTCTTGAAGCTAGCGATACCTCTGAAAGATCACCTGGGACAGAAGACTTGCACTTTGACTCAGCCTCCGGTATCTTCATCAAAAATAAAAGATCGAGTCATGTTTCTGGGACACCTAGAATCAGACGATCTGGAGCAGTGAGCTGAAAGTTATGGCCGTTTGAAGATGAAATTGTTTCGCATCTGTTCTGTACAAATCCGATGCGCTTCAAAGAACCGGTGTACCTGACGTCTTGCTGACCTCAGATGGAGTTGGATCCTTGATCAAAATTGGAGCCGATTGAGTCATTTATCTCACGGAGTTAGAAAATTAAGTATCGGATCACTGAGAAGGGAGTTATGCAAGTTTTGATGCAAGTAGTCTATAATCACACCGAGCAGAATATCGACCATCTTCTGGTCGATATGACCTTGGTCACTGCTAGGTTTTTCTTGGATTTTGGGAGCTCATTTCACTGTGTATATCCAGACCAGAATATTGACTGAAATGAGTTTGGTGTGGATCCGTTAAAGCTACAACCGACCAGAATATCGACCTAGCTTGTAGTCGATATTCTCATTAAGAGATTCTTTGAGCCACACCGACCAGAATATCGACCACATGCTTGGTCGATATGAACTTAATCTTGGACGTATTTTAAGGCTTTTCCGGGTCAATACCCGGTTTGTTCCGGGTTTGCCCGGCCTCAAAACTCTACCTATATAAATTTTTTAGCATTATCTGTTGGACTTACCCTTTATCCTTTAGTTCCTCTTTGCCTCTTTTGTGAAAGAATATACCTTGTAAGAGAGATCTTCATATTCTGTTTTAATCAAGAGAGTTTGTTTGTTTCTAATCATTTTTTTTTTGGTCGAAATTTCATCATCTTCTACCTTTCTTAATCATTAATCATGTTTAACTTCTCATCTTGCAAAAGATTAAGAGAGTTAAATTTGATTGTAGTCAATTTTATTAGAGTTCTAGACATATAGGTTAGAGTGCTTAAGTGTTAGATTAAGGTGTTTAGGGACTAGATTTATGTTTTTCTTTCTCTAAATAGCTATGTTTTAAGCTAGATCGTTGATAATCACTATAGTCTAGAACTTAGGTATTTTTCACTCACAAAGTATTTAATGAAATGTCTGAACAAGCTATAATAGAGGTCTATTGCTTTGATCACATGAGAATGCTTGTTTGAAGAATATCTGACATTTTAGGTTGATTATTAATGCAATCTTATTATTATGCCTCTAATCAGAATTGAGTATAGTAATGGTTTGATTTGTGTTCATTGTCTTGAGAAAGAATTGAACTTGTTTGGAACCCTAAGTTAATGGGAATCATTCATCATCTTGTCATTAACATCTTAGTTTAACACCAAATGCACCCTAACCCACTATCATGTCTAGAACTCTAAGCCTTTTATCATCTTTTCCATCAATCACCATTTGCTATTTGTGGTTTGTTGCTTTGTTTATTGCATAATCTTGCTTTAGTTTCACTTTGTGACAAAATCTAATCATTGTTAGACCTGGATTGGGTTTGAATTCCTATAGATTAGTGTCTAGATCACACACATATGGATTGACACCTCAAGTACTTCAACTACTAGAGGACTTGAATCTGACAAAAAGATATAAAATCTCTTGTTTCAATTTGGCGCCATTGCCATTGTGTGTAGCATTTAGCATTAATTTTTGGATCTGCTTGAGATCAGGTCATTACTTTCTTTTTTTTTTACTGAATATCCTCTAGTTCTATCTTTGATTTTCAGGTGTATGAACAACAGCAGTAGAAGCTGTGATCCACCACTTCCATACATTGACAACATACACCATTTGGAGAGAAGAGGATAAAGAGACAGGGTTAATCAAGAACTAGACTTGGGTATGGAGAATCAGAGGGTTCAAGAGGAGCATCAGGCTCAGGGTAATCAGAATCAATCCCCAAGGAATGAGCAACAGGATCAGATGCCTTAAGCTAATCTAAATGAAGGGAATAGACAGCATTAGGATGCTCAAGCTCAGCCCCAACCTAACCCACCCCAGCGTCAAAGCTATGAATGCTGCAAGGAATCCAGTCTTAAGTTGGTGCAAATGATGCAGCCAATGCTCACACCAACAGACAAGGGATTCAGGCACCTACTGTTAAGAACAACAACTTTGAAGTGAAGGCAAGCCTATTGAATATGGTGCAAAAACAGCAATTTTCATGGGTTGCAAATGGAAGATCCCTTGGACTACATTGATCAATTTGATAGGGTCTGTAACCTAACAAAAATCAATGGTGTGTCAGAAGATAGCTTTAAGCTGAGATTGTTCCCTTTCTCACTTGGAGATAAATCCAGGCAATGGGAGAAGAACATTCCTCAAAGTTCAATACAGACTTGGGATCAGTGTAAGAGAGCTTTTCTTAATAAGATTTCCTCCACTTCAAGGACAGCCAAGTTAAGAAATCAGATATCATCCTTCACCCAACAACATAATGAGAGCTTTAGTGAAGTCTGGGAGAGATTTAGGGAGTACACAAATCAGTGCCCCCATCATGGTTTCTCAGACTCTTCTCTGTTGAGTACATTATATAGAGGATCATTGCCAAATATTAGAAATCAACTAGACACAGCTTCTAATGGCAAATTTCTGGCAGAGGAGGTCAATGCAGCTATGGAGTTGGTGGAGAATCTTTCTCAGAGCAATAATACATATGGTGAAGACTATGACAGATCTTACCGAGGAGAAAGGTCTAATGAAGAGCAAATGATGAAGAAGGACATCAAAGAGCTCCAAACAAAGCTAGAAAAAGTATTGGTTTCTTCTTAAAAGTCAATACATTATGTTGGAGAGTTTGATGAGCCACAATGCTTTGACAATGTATAAGAAGAGGGTCTAACTCAAGAGAAGCTGAACCACATTGGTAACCAAAAAAAATTCCAAAGGTTTAACAACTTCAACAATCAGAACTTGTCTTATAGGAATCTCAATGTAGCAAATCCAGGCGATCAAGTTTATCTTCCACAACAAGGGCAGAATCAAGGCTACACCAACAAGAATCAGTTTCAAAGTAACTACCAAGGGAAGCAAACCTATGCTCAGCAAAATGTTGCTCAGAATCAGCAAGGAGTTGTTCAAAAAGAGAGTTTTGTGCCAAAGAAGTCTTATCCTTCTGATTTTGGGCAGCAACAAGTTCAGAAAACTCCTTTTCAGCAACAAGGCTCTGATCTTAGTGGTGTTATCCAACAGATTCTGAAAGGACAACAAAAATTGGAGTATAACTTCAATGACCTCAACTCAAAGTATGAGGCTTTACAAAACCAGTTGAAGACTCTTGAGAAGAACCAAGCTTCATCATCTTCTAGAGGTCAAGGTACTCTTCCAGGAAAACCAGAATCCAATCCCAAGGAATATGTACATGCCATCACCTTGAGAAGTGGCAAAGAGCTGCCTGAAAGAGAGCAAAGACCAGTGCTCATTGAGGACAATGAGCAACTTGGTGGGGATGAGCCAATAGAGATTGAACAAGCTGATGAAGTTGTGGAGCAGAAAGTTGAAAAGAAAGACAAAGAGAAAGGGTATTGAAAAGGAAAAGGCGTGAGAAGCCTTTTGTACCACCACCATATCAGCCCAAGCTTCCATCTTCTGGGAGGTTCAAGAAACAACTGCTAGAGAAGGCAAATGCTCTATTTAACAAGCAGATGGAAAAGGTGGATATCACAATGCCATTAGTGGAGACTTTCCTTTTGATGCCACAGTATTCAAAGTTCTTGAAAGATGCTATAATTGAGAAGGAAAAGGAACTTCAAGGCATGGTGGTGCTTAATCATGAATGCAGTGCCTTTATTAAAAGAAGACTATACCAAGGAAGTTATCTGATCCAGGAAGCTTCACTTTGCCATGTACCCTATGTCCTTTGGAGTTTGCTAGCTGTCTTTGTGATCTTGGGGCTTCTGTGAGCCTAATACCCTTTTCTATTGCCAAGAAGTTGGGTTTTACTATCTGCAAACCCTCCAAGATATCCTTGGTGCTTGCTGATAGGTCTGTGAGACTCTCTCTAGGACTTTTTGAAGATCTGCCGGTGAAGATAGGTGATTTTGTGGTTCTTATAGACTTCATTATACTAGAAATGGATGAGGAGCCAAAGGATCCACTTATCTTAGGAAGACCTTTTTTGGCAACAGCAGGTGCAATCAATGATGTAAGAAAGGGTAAGATAGATCTCCATCTTGGATCTGAGGTGCTCAAGTTAGACATTAATGAAGTGATGAAGAAGCCCACAATAGAAGGCCAGGTCTTCTACATAGATACCATGGAGGAGCTAGCAGATGAACTTCTTGAGGAGTTAAGCCTTGAAGACCATCTCCAAATTGCTTTAACTAAAGAGCATGGAGAGTATGGTTATCTTGAAGATGAGAGCCTTGGTTATATGAAGCTATTAGACTCTCACAAACCAGTGGAGAGCAAGGATTCTTTCATGGAATTGAGCTACAAGGGTCTAGGGAAGCAATCTGATTGATTTGGAAGCTTGGAAGAGACAAGACCTTGCAATTCATATCGAGCACAATCCAGGCGATATTTTGGTTGGTATGGAGAAGTTGCAGAAACCAGAGCAAAACCCAACCAAAATATCGAGCAACATGAACTCGGTGTGGAACAAAGAGCAAGTATCGACCAAAATATCGACTGCTTTGGTGGTCGATACTACCTTGGCAGGAAAGTCTGAAATGGAGTTTCAAGGGGGAAATGTACAAAGATCAAGGGCAAGAAAACAATACCAAATGTGCCAAAGCTGATCAGACAAGCTTCAATGAGGATTGGAGTGAACTCATAGCACCAAAAGTGGAGCTTAAGCCACTTCCAAGTAGTCTCAAGTATGCATTATTAGGCCCTAATGCATCATACTCTATCATCATCAATGAGAAATTGCTAGAACATGAAGAAACTGCATTGCTAAATGAACTAAGAAAATTTAGGAGAGCAATTGGTTACTCATTAGATGACATAAAGGGCAGATCCTCTTCTTTATACACTCATAGAATTCATTTGGAGGAGGAATCTATGACTTCTCTTGAACATCAGAGAAGGTTAAACCATAATATAAGAGATGTTGTAAAGAAAGAGATACTCAAACTCCTAGAGGCATGAATTATTTATCCAATTTCTGACTCTAGATGGGTTTCCTCAGTTTCTGTTGTGCTTAAGAAGGGTGGGATTACAGTGATCAAGAATGAAAAGAATGAAATGATCCCCACTAGATTTGTAACTGTCCATAGGATGTGCATAGATTACAGAAAACTTAATGCTGCATCTAGGAAAGATCACTTCCCATTGCCTTTTATTGATCAAATGTTTGAGATATTAGCAAACCATCCATTTTACTGTTTTCTTGATGGTTATTATGGTTTATTTCAAATCCCAATTCAACCAAATGATCAAGAAAAGACAACATTCACCAGTTCATATGGTACATTTGCATATAGAAGGATTCCTTTTGGTTTACGCAATGCTCCTGCCACATTTCAAAGGTGTATGATGTCTATCTTTTCTGACCTTCTTGAGGAGATGGTAAAAGTTTTCATGGATGATTTCAGTGTCTATGGACATTCTTTCTCTACTTGTTTATCTAATCTTTACAGAGTGCTTAGGAGGTGTGAAAAGACCAACTTGGTGCTGAACTGGGAGATGTGCCACTTCGTGGTTAGAGGGGGCATTGTTTTGGTACACAAGATCTCTGAGGCAGGAATTGAGGTGGACAATGCAAAGGCTAAGGATATGGTGAACTTGGGGGCTTCTAATTCAGTAAAAGGAGTGAGAAGCTTTCTGGGTCATGCTGGATTCTACAGAAGATTCATTAAAGACTTCTCAAGAATTGCAAGGCTACTTAGCAAGCTTCTCTGCAAGGATGTGAATGTTTATTTGATCAAGAATGTGAAGATTCCTTCAAGGAACTCAAGCAAGCCTTGATCAGTGCACCCATAGTACAAGCACCTGAATGGTCTTTACAATTTGAGATCATGACATATGCTAGTGACTATGCAGTGGGAGCTGTCTTGGGGCAGAAAAAGGATAAGAAGCTGCATGTAATCTACTATGCTAGAAGAACTCTAGATGGCGGCCAGGAAAAGTATGCCACAACAGAGAAAGAAATGCTTGCTATTGTGTTTGTATTTGACAAATTCAGATCATATCTGGTGGGTTCCAAGGTTGTTGTGTATACTGATCATGCAGCATTGAGATACTTGATGACAAAGAAGGATGCCAAGTCTAGGCTGCTCAGATGGGTTCTTTTGCTTTAGGAATTTGATATGGAAATCAAAGACAAAAGAGGGATTGAGAATGAATCTGCTGATCATTTTTCAAGGTTGAAGATAGAAGACAAAGTTCCCATTGATGACCCCTTGCCAGAAGAACACTCAATGATGGAGTAAGCTTTAAATGAGCTAGAAGAGCTCAAGAGTCTTCAAGAGAAGGATTTTCCTTGGTATGCTGATATAGTGAACCATCTGTCTTGTGGAGTGGAGCCTTCATAGTTGAGCAACTACCAAAGGAAAAAGTTTCACAAGGACATCAAAAGGTTTTACTGGAATGAGCCCTATTTATATGTGTATCCCTGAAGAAGAGGTTCAAGGAATCTTGTTTGAGTGTCATGGGTCTGCTTATGGAGGTCACAATGCAGCATTCAAAACTGTTGCTAAGGTTCTTCAAGCATGATTCTGGTGGCCTACAATGCTCAAAGATGCTCAAGCCTATGTCTACAAGTGTGATGAGTTTCAGAGATCAGGGAATATATCAAAGAGATATGAGATGCCCCAAACCCCATCTTAGAAGTTGAAGTATTTGATGTGTGGGGAATAGACTTCATGGGACTATTTCCATAATATTATGGGAACCAATATATATGGGTAGTTGTGGATTATGTCTCCAAATGGGTTGAAGCTGTAGCAAGTCCCACCAATGACTCTAAGGTTGTTATGAAGCTCTTCAAGACTATCATCTTCCCAAGGTTTGGAGTCTCAAAATGCATTATCAGTGATGGTGGAAGTCATTTCATCAGCAAAACCTTTGAGGGTCTCTTAAAAAAATATGGTGTCAAACAAAAGGTTGCAAGTCCTTATCACCCCCAGACAAGTGGCCAAGTGGAGGTATCAAGCAGATTAAGGCAATCTTGGAGAAGACAGTGAACAGCACTAGAAAAGATTGGGCAAGAAACTTGATGATGCATTATGGACATATAGAACATCGTTCAAGACTCTCATAGGAACATCATCATTCAATCTTCTATATTGGAAGTCCTGCCATTTACCAGTGGAGTTAAGAGTACAAAGGTCTATGGACTGTGAAGCTGCTTAAATTTGATTTAAAAACAGCCAAAGAGAAAAGACTTTTTCAGCTTCACGAGCTAGATGAGATCAGGATGGATGCTTATGAGAGCTCAAGGATCTAAAGAGAGGACCAAGAGTCTTCATGAGAAAAATATCTTGAAGAAGGACTTCAAAGTTGGTGATCAGGTGCTGCTGTTCAACTCCAGATTCAAGTTGTTCCCAAGGAAAATAAAGTC